TGGCGGTGAATCAGCAAGGTGTGCTGCTGCACTCTCGTGAGAATAATTGCCCTCAGCTGCGGCCGCTTCGCGATGGACCGAAGCAGCAGCTGCGGCGCTGCAGAACGAAACAACACCTGCAGCAGCAGCAGCAGCAGCAGCAGCGGCAGCTATAATGGAGCTGCACTGCAGTTTAGTCACTCTTATTTATTCTGAGCTCCAACCAACTGCTCCCTACAATTTATACACTCTATCTTTCCCTTCCTATAGGAACCCAAGGCAGCAGCAGCAGCCGCTGCTGCTGCTGCTGCTAATATTTCTGCTGCTGCTGCTGCTGCTGCTGCTGCTGCTGCCGCTGACTTCTGTAAAACTGACCTCTGCAAAGCCGAAGTCGGGACTGAGAAACTTCTGGGGCAGCTGCAGCTCGCGCAGCAGCTGCTGCTCCTTCGAAATTTGCTGCGCGAAATCGCTGCCTGCCCGCTGCTGCTGCTGCTGCTGCTGCGCTGTGGGGTTTGCTGCAGAAGAGCCGTTGCCAGCTGTTTCATGTTGCTGCTGCTGCTGCTCCACGTCACCAGACGGAAAGCGGGGAGCGTCTGAGTTGTCTGCAGCAACAAGAAAGTACCACAGCAGCATTAAAGACTGCTTCTACGAGTTTTGCTGCTGCTGCTGCTGCTTCTGTTGCTGCTGTTGCTGCTTACCGTCGTGCTGCAGCAGGGTGGTCCAGATGTGAAGCACGTGCTGTAGCTCGTCTGGCGACCTGACATTTGCTGCTTGCTCCTCCAGCAGCAGCAGCAGCTGCTCTGCTGTTAGTCCTTCAAAAGCAGCAGCAGCAGCAGCAGCAGCATGCTCCGTGCCCCCCCCCAAAATCAGCAGCACATCTCGCGCGCGAGATAAAAGGGCTGTGCCAGACTGAACAGAAGAAGCTACCTGCAGCAGCAAACACCAGTAGCTGCAGCTCTCAAGCAGCAGGAGCAGCAGCAGCAGCAGCAGCACCGAAGCACTCGACCGAGCAGCAGCAACAGCAGCAACAGCAGCAGTAGGTATGCTTCCGGGCGGAAGAACAGCAAAAGAAGAGCTGACGTATACAACAGGGCCATTTGTGGTGGCAGCAGCAGCAACAGCAGCAAAATGACCAGCAGCAGCAGCAGCAGCACCTCATCTGCCTTCTTCTTAACCTTGCTAAAGGACTCCGTGATGCGGCCCCACATGTTTTGCAGCAGCAGCAGCAGCCCTGGGAGGGGCTCCGGCTGAATGCCTCTGCAGCTTGCCTGAGAAGCAGCAGCAGCAACAAGCAGCAGCAGCAAAATGAGCAGCAGACGACGTAATGACCCGCAGGCGGGTGGAGAGAAGAGCCGCAACACAGAGGCAGCAGCACAGATGCTGCAACAGGCTGCGCTAGGGATTGAAGCGATGTCTGCTGCTGCCGCTGTTGCTGCTGCTGCGGTTGCTGCTGCTGCTGCTGCTGTTGCTGCTGCTGCTGCTGTTCCCGCTCATCCTGCGTGCCACCGCGCCCAGGGGAAGTGTGTGTCCTCTAAATGAATCTGACAGTGCAACATTCATGGCCGGTGCTAGTTTTGTGGTTGCTGAGGTGTACGTACACTGGAGCGCAGTCGAAACCGCCTCGGCAGCGCCGCCGGAGCAGCAGCAGCAAGGGGGTCGGTTTGTGCGTTTCCAGCCTCTAATTCTTTCAGCAATTGGAGCAAAACAAAATTAAAATCCAAAAATAAGGATTTTAAGTCAAGAAGCCTCGCTTAACTCGGCTCGGCAAAGCCGACTAGGGACCAGGAGAGGCAGCAGCTGCTGCAGACAGCAGCAGCCCCGTGAGCTGTACGTACACTGTACCAGCAAAACTTCTCCAAATGTTAGATAGAAATTCAATTAAATGCAAAATAGCATTTTCGCATTTATATGAATTTATATGAATTCGCAATTTCGCTTTCTTTTCTACACAGCAGCTCCAGAAACTGCTGCTGCTGCTGCTGCTGCTGCTGCTCCTGCCGCTGCTGCTGCTGTTCCTGCTGCTGCTGCTGCAGTTGTGTCTGCTCAAGTACAGCTGCAAAAACAGCAGCAGCAACAGCAGCAGAAGCACCTGCAGCAGCAGCAGCAGCAGGTAGCCGCTGCTGCTTATTTTTGCTTTGCTTCCATTTCCATTTGCTTCCTTGCGCAGCTCTGGGTGTCTAGACAGCTAGTCAAGTTGAATCCGTAATCTGCTCGCTTTGGAATTTCTTTTCCAGTTCAATTTCTGTGGCTGCAAAATCCCTTTAAAACAAACGAACAAATAAACTAATAGATAAATAAATGAATAAATAAATAAATTTAACTTTTAAAATGCACAAACATACTCTTCATAAATCCCAATTGCCCTCGGCTGGTTAGGACGAAACACCTAGCACTGCTGTTTTAGCAGCAGCAACCGCGGCAAAAGCAGCAGCAGCAACAACGGCAGCAGCAGCAGCAGCAACAGCAGCAGCTGGCCCAGGTAAAGGAGACTTCTTGTCAATTCTTTCTATTCGCCACACCAAACTAAAAAACCGCACAAGTCCAGCCTAGTCAGGCAGCTAGCTAGGCATCTCGTTGGCTAGCTAGCCAGCTAGCTAGCTAGCTAGCCAGCTAGCTAACCAGCAGCAGATGCTTGAAAAGGCAGCTAGCTAGCTAGCTAGCTAGCCACCAGCAGCTGCTTGAGCATGCAGTCATCCAGCTAGCTGGCCACCAGCAGCAAGCAGGTAGCTAGCAAGGCGGCTAGCTGGCTATCCAGCTAGCTAGCTGGCTAGCCAGCCAGCTAGCTAGCTAGCTGGCATGGTGGCTACCTAGCTAGCTAGCCACCAGCAGCTGCTTGGGCAGACAGGCCCAGGCAGCTGGCTGCAAGCGAGCTAGCCGTACGGCGTGTCCCCGGACCCTTGTCTGCTGCTGTTGCTGCTGCTGCTGCTGCTGCTGCTGCTGCGCCGTCCACCCGTCAGGTAGTTAGGAAGCAAAGCGAAAGAAAACCCCCAGTGAAGGAGCAGGAAAAGAAAAGAAAATATTAAAAGGATTAAATGGATTATTTTTGCTGTAGCAAAAGGCGCTATTGAATTCACAAATAGAATTCCAGAAAACATAAATGCGCATTTGCGTTTCTGCATGCAGAGCTTACGTACACTGTGTTCGTTTTGCTTTTTACAAAATTAATAATTTTGATTAATTGCTTTTGATTGATTATTTTTAATGTATTTTCATTAACTTGTGTGCGCGCATTTATACATATATATATTGTATATATATTATTATATATACGTATATATATATATAATATATATAACATATATAATATATATGTGCATATGCATATTGTATATATATAATATTATTAATAAGATAATGTAATATGAAATATATTTGTAGTTACATTTGTTTTTAATTGTACAATTACATATGTACAAGTGCGCAATTCTGTGTACATACAGCACATTCATTTGTGTATATGTTTATTTGTAAATATATTTATTCTGCATAAATATATATTTTGGCATTTTTGGGTTTTTATGAATCCAAACTTTCATAAAGACAAAAACACATGCTGCATGCATTCATAAATATATATATTTATCCATATTTCATTCATATAAGCCACAGATAAATACACTTTCCGAAAAATTCGGGAAAATGTATATTTGCATGCATGCATGCATGCAAATGCCATTTGCATGCATGCACGCATGCATGCATGCATGCACTCGCGGTGTCTGTACACTCCAGCGCGTGCGGGCAAGTCAGTTCCCATTTGTCGACTTTGCATTTTTCGGAATTCTTTTCGAATTTCACATTTATAAATGGATAAATAGAACAACCAAGCATTCTCCTGCTGCTGCTGCAGCAGCAGCAGCAGCATTCAGTTCCAGAAATGGTATTCTTAGATCCGCTGCAGCTTTTTAGATCCGCTGCAGCGGGGTAATCCCAAGAATAAAGAAAGCAGTTTCCAGCACTTTCCGCGTGGCTTCGCACAGCAGCAAACGACTTTGCTGCGTCTCTTCTTCAGAATCCAAAACTTTTAAATTCATATAAAAGTCCGAAAACAAACAAGTCGTTTTGTACACAAACTCCGCCAACCTGCAGACACCCACACGCAACGCGATCCCACACTTGCTGCTGCTGCTGCTGCTGCTGCTGCTGCTGCTGCTGCTGCGGTGGCTGAGGCGATGCTGCTGAAGCTGTGCTGCTGCGGGCAGAGCTGCACCAGTTATTTCTAGTGCTACTGCTGCCGCTGCAGCTACACTTGCTGCTGCTTTTGCTGCTGCTGCTGCCACTGCTGCTGATGCTGCTGCAACTGCTTGCCTGTGCAGCAGCAGGTCATCCAAAATGCCAAAGACAACATCAGGAAACTGCAGCAGCAAAAAGGCCAGCTGCCGCTCGCTGGCCTCCTTGATTTTTAAAGCACCTGAGGCAAAAAGAAAAAAAAAGAATTTTATAAAACTAAAGAAACTTCAACAAACTGCAGCAGCAAACAAGCTCCTGCTTGCGCCAGTTGAAGCAGCAACAGCAGAAACAGCAGCAAGGGAAGCAGCAGCAAAAGCAACAGCAACAAAAGCAGCAGCAGCAAGAGCAGCAGCAGCAGCAGCAGCAGCACTTGGTGGTAGGGTTTTGGGGTCGACCCCCGCCTTTCTGAAGATGGCGCAAATCCTCGCATAGGCATAGAGTAGATACACCGCGGTATTCCCTGAACATTTAGTTAGCAGCAAAAAATAAAAGAAGTTCACAGCAGCAGCAGCAGCAGCAGCAAAAGCAGCAGCAAAAGCAGCAGCAGCAGAGCGCCTTTAGGGATTCAATGCGCATGCAGCCTCTCTAAGTTGCAGCACTATTGAGTGTTGAGTTTATCTCTGCTTTATTTTAGAAGCCCTTTTAAACTTAATAAGCATTAGTGATAAACACAAACCCCAAACCCTAAACCCTAAATCCTAAACCCTTCAAACAGCGAGGCTCAGAAGAGCTGCTGCGGCGCTCTCGGGTGTTTGCACCTAGCCGCCTGAGAGCCAGACCGCCTCGGGCTTCTTTAAGCCTAAATTAGGGTTTAAGCCCCGAAATAAGGTCTAGACTTTACATTAAGGTTTAAACCTTAAAATAGGGTTTAGGCCCTAAAAATGCGTTAAAACCCTAAATCAGGGTTTAAACCCTAAATTAGGGTTCACGCACCCCGCGAGTCCAGCATGCGGTCGTAAGAAAACTGGTAATCGGTGGTTCTGTTTTGCTTCAAGTCGAAATACTTCACTGCCGAATACCCCAGAACCTGCGCCCTCTTATCCAGATCAGCAGCAGCAGCAGCAGCAGCAGCAGCCTCGTCTGCTGCTGCTTCTGCTGCAGGACACACAAACACCAAGCTGGAAGGCAGCCGCTGGCAGCTCAAACAAACCCTAAACCACAAACCCTTATTTCCAAACCCTAAACCCTGCAGGGTTTCAGCGAAAAGGCCTCTGCGATGCTCAAGCAGCAGCAGCAGCAGCAGCAGTACTAGTAGCTTCTCTACGTATAGCGATAAGTAAGCCCTTGAGAAAACCCCAAGTTCTAAACTCTAAACCCTAAACTCTAGGATCTCGTACGCAGCAGAAAGCTGGCCCCAGTGGCAGCAAAGAAAAACAGATGAAGAAACATCCCCAGGCCATAAACCCTAAACCCTTAACCCTAAACCTCTGTGGCCCCAAAATCTCCCCCCAGCCCGTCCAAACCCTCGCTTCCCCGTACACCAACCCAAACCCTAAACCCTAAACCCCAAGTCCCAAACCCTAAACCCCAAACCCCAAACCCCAAACCCCAAACCTCAAACCCCAAACCCCAAACCTCAAACCCCAAACCCTAAACCCCAAACCCTAAACCCTAAACCCTAAACCCGACCCTGCTCCTCTGCGGCGCGGCGCTGCAGCTCCTCCTTGGCCCTGGAAACCGCCTCGTCGAGCAAATCGACAAGTCGCACAACTTCGCCACTTCGGGTTTTGAATTTCTTTCCATCAAAACCCTGAACCACTCCGAAACCCGCGAAGCAGCAGCGCTGCGCGCCCGGGGAGTACCAACCTGCGGCGCAAACCCTAAACCCTAAACCCTAAACCCTAAACCCGAAACCCTAAACCCTAAACCCGAAACCCTAAACCCGGAGCTCGGAACCTGGAACACGGAAACTGGAACACAGCCTGAAACGCAGACCCGTAAGCCTAGACCCTAAACCCTGGACTTTGCACTGTTATGCTAGCCTGAGACACAAACCCTAAACCCTAAACCCTATACCCTTGACAATAACAATAAACCCTAGAGCTCCAGGAAATTGCACGCGAGCCGAAACAGCCCTGTTTCATGGGCACGAAGGAATGCACGCGAAACACTGACCAATCGAGGGCTTCGGGCTTAGGGTTTAGGGTTTAGGGTTTGGCGCACCTGCCATTTTGGCGGCCTCGAAGAGTTTCATGAAGTGCTCTTCTTGGCCCATATCGGTAACGTAGATGAGCCAGTCATTCTTGCAAGTTACCAGCCTAGAAAGCAAAGAAACAAATAAATAAAACAAATCAAAACAAATAAAAATAAATTAAAATAAATTAAAATAGTAAGTAAATAATAAATAAATAATAAATAGGAAATAATGAGAAGAGGAATCAATGAAAGACGCGGCGGAAACCGGAAAAACCCTAAAACGGTGTTTCGTGAACCTGCACTTTTTCATCTCCAGATTTGACTCAACTGAAAGAAATAATATTCAAAAACCCTTTTTAAAAAAGTTTTTGAATTAAATTTATTTTAATTGAATTAATATCATGAATTTCATTAACTTTGCCGACTCGACTTGGTTTATAAACCATTTTCATTTCAAGTTTTCTTGAATTCATGAAAAGTTCCATTTCAGAAACTTTTCCATTTTCAAATTGTGTTATATTCACAATTCCTCTTTAAATTAAAGAAGGATTGAAATTAACAGGCTAATGTTTTCAGAACTGTTTTCAAGAAATCAAATAAAAATATAGCAAAAGCAGCAGCAGCAGCAAAAGCAGCAGCAGCAGCAAGAGCAGCAGCAACGAGAGGAGATATAGCAAAAGCAGCACCAGCAACATCAGAAGCAGCAGCAGCAGCAGGAGCAGCACCAGCATCACGAAGAGCAGCAGCAGCAGCAGCAGCAGTAGCACCAGCAGCAAAGACCAAAAGAACAATAACCCCACCTGTGTCGAATGGCAGCTAAGTCTGTAGAATCATAGCCATAACCCCCATCTCTTTTTACAGCCATTAGCGGCACAGGATTTGCTGCCGTGAAGAGACACAAAGCTCCGTCGCTCTCCTGCAGCAAGCTGCAGCAGCAGCAGCAGCGGCGCAGCAGCAGCAAACGAAGCATCTGTAGTAGCAGCAGCAAGAGCCGCAGCAGCAGCAGCAAGTGTTGGTGCTTACTTTGTCTTTCAACTCTTGAATACAAGCATGAGTGCAGCAGCAGCAGCAGCAGCAGCAGGCGCTGCTGCTTACTATTTGTCTTTCAACTTTTGGATAGCAGCACGAGTCCAGCAGCAGCAGCAGCAGCAGCAGCAGGTGTTGCTGCTTACTTTTTGTCTTTCAACTCTTGAATAACTGAAGGAAGCATTTCGTTGTAAGCCGACTCTCCCATTTCTCTCAGGTGTACATCCAGCCGACTGTAAACCTTCTCAAATTCGCAGCGGCTCACTTCGCAAATTGAACTCCACAATCGACGCGCCAAAGGATCTCCAGCTGCAGCAGCAGCAGCAGCAGCAGCGGCGACGAGGATAGCAGCAGCAGCAGCAGCAGCGGCGACGAGGATAGCAGCAGCAGCAGCAGCGGGATTTCTGCAGCAGCGGCAGGGAGGGTAGCAGCAGCAGCAGCAGGATAGCAGCAGCAGCGGCAGGGAGGGCAGCGGCAGCAGCAGCAGCAGGGAGGGTAAGAGCAGCAGCAACAGGGAGGATAGCGGCAGCAGCAGCAGCAGGAAGGATACCAGCAGCAGCAGCAGCATAGCAGCAGTGGCAGCAGCGAGGGCAGCAGCAGCAGCAGGGAGGATCGCAGCAGCAGAGAGAACAGCAGCAGCAGCAGTGGCAGGGAGGATAGCAACAGCAGCGGCAAGGATGAAGGCAGCAGCAGCAGGGATGAAGGAAGCAGCAGCAGATGAAAGCAGCAGCAGCAGCAGCAAGAATAGCAAACGCAGCAGGGAAAGCAGCAGCGATAACAGAAGTGGCAGGGATGAAAGCAGCAGCAGCAGCAGCAAGAATAGCAAACGCAGCAGGTAAAGCAGCAGCGATAACAGAAGTGGCAGGGATGAAAGCAGCAGCAGCAGCAGCAAGAATAGCAAACGCAGCAGGTAAAGCAGCAGCGATAACAGAAGTGGCAGGGATGAAAGCAGCAGCAGCAGCAGCAAGAATAGCAAACGCAGCAGGTAAAGCAGCAGCGATAACAGAAGTGGCAGGGATGAAAGCAGCAGCAGCAGCAGCGAGAACAGCAGCAGCAGTGAGAAGAGGAGCACGGACAGCAGCAACAGGGACACCAACAGTAGCAGCAGCAAAACCTCGAGCAGCAGCAGCAGCAGCCCCAAGCAACAGATAAACACTTCGTTTGAAAGGGAGAAAGTTCGAAAAAAAGAAAAGCAAAAGAAGACAGAAGAGAGAAGAGAGGAGCAAAATAAAAAGAAAAGAAAGCGGCAAATTAAAAAGAAAAGAAATAAATAAAAAGAAAATAAAAAAAAGAAAAATACCCTGGAGTCGAACAACAGCTTCTCGAGCTCTTTGTTTGAAATCTTCTGCTGCATCAAATTTGCTTTTTGCTGCTCTATAAAGCAGCTGCAGATCTCCAATTTGAGGGGTTTCCACTGCGCAGTTCGGGTGCTCCTGCATAAACCCTAAACCCTAAACCCTAAAACCTAAACCCTAAACCCTAAACCCTAAACCCTAAACCCTAAACGCGGAGCGGGAGTCCTCGGCTCGCCGAAGCTGCTGGGAAATCTGCACAGCGAAAGGCGCTGCAGCAAGGCTGGGCTGCTACTGCAGCAGCAGCAGCAGCAGCAAATGCAGCAACAGCACGTGTAGCAGCTAACTTCTACAACGTGTTCAACCAGCGTTTCATATCGAGCGCCCCAGTCTGCTGCTAGTCTGGCGTAAGCAGCAGCAACGGCAGCAGCAACAGCAGCAGCAACAGCACCAGCAACAGCAGCAGCAGCAACAGCAGCTAACTTCCATAATGTATTGAATCAGCATTCCAAATTGAGTGCCCCAGTCTCCAATGTGGTTGACGCGGTCCACCTCATGGCCCACAAACTCCAGCAGACGGCCTAGCAGCAGCAGCAGCAGCAGCAGCAGCAGCAGATACAGCAAATGCAGCAGTGGCAGCAGCTGCTGCAGCAAATGCAGCAGCAGAAACAGATAAAGCAAATGCCGCTAAAGCAGAAGCAGCAGTAGTAACAGCAGCGCGCATGGGAAATGCTCTCAACGCCTAGACTTCATTCAAAGCAGCAGCAGCAACAGCAGCAGCAGCAGCAGCAGCAAAGCAGCAAGTAGCACTGGTAACAGCAGTTTGAGTCAATGAAACTGCAACACTAGCGTAAACACCAGCAAAAACAGCAGCAGCAACGGTAGAAGCAGCAGGAATAGCAACAATGGCAAAACACTAGCAGCAGCAGCAGAAGCATGGGCTGCAGCAGCAGCCGCAACACAAGCAGCATTACAGCAGCAGCAGCAGAGACACGAGCAGAAGCAGCGAGAACACGAGCAGTAGCAGCAGGAACATGAGCAACAGGAGGAGCAGCACCAGGAACACGTACAGCATCAGCAGCAGCAGCACGAGCAGCAACAGCAGCACGAGAAGCAACACCAGCGGCAGTCCCAACACGAGCCGCAGCAGCAGCACGAGTGGAATTACCAGCAGCAACACAAGCAGCAGCAGCAGCAACACGAACACCATCAGCAGCAGCAGCAAGAACACGAGCAGCAGCAGCAACACCAGCAGCCATAACAGCACGAGCAGCGACACAAGGAGCAGCAGCAGCAACACGAGCAGCAACACAAG